GTTAGTCGTCCCGTGGTCAAACCATCCGGATGGTACATTGTGAAGTAATCGAGGCACGAGACCAGTGGTTCTTTACTTGTCAAGAGTTCGAACCGCTCGAGAGGTTCAAAGATAAACTTAACTGCAACGTTGCCTCCAGTTAGTTAACGGCCAACGAGTTTATCCTCTCAACAATGTATACGCGGTAACTAACAATCATAATATATTACGACGAACGATAATAAATCGTAACAGATGCTACCGTTTTCCTTCCTAAAATAATGAAAATTCATCGTGCTCGCAGATATCTGTCTGTCTATTGATCGAAAGATATACAAGCGTACGAAATGTTAAGTAATTTCATCGAATTTCCGATTCCAATTTTTTTCTTTTTTTTTTTTTTTTTTGAAAATTCATCGTGCTCGCAGATATCTGTCTGTCTATTGATCGAAAGATATACAAGCGTACGAAATGTTAAGTAATTTCATCGAATTTCCGATTCCAATTTTTTTCTTTTTTTTTTTTTTTTTATACAAATAATCGGGAAATATTTCGTCCAAACTATCGGACAGGTGTAAATCTGTTCGCTATATAGGAGATGCTTGAACGGTATGGGAACGGAATTCAAATTCTTGGACATTTTAGTTATGTATTTGCAGATACATACGCAGTCGAAACGCATCGTACGTAGAAAATCGTGTAAAACGAATTGCATGAAAATTATCGATATCCATGCGAATTCTTTCAACGGGGGGAGATTGGACGCGAGAGGTGCGTTTGTTCGGCGATAATCCCATTCACGCGCATAATTCCCGGTGCTTGCCACGCATCATTAATTACGGCCGTTTACATTTATCATTCGTCGACGGCCGTATATTTTCCAAAATTTATACCGCGCGAAGAGCCACCGGAATTTCAGGTATATTTTAGGTCCGGTTTCCGGCCTATTCGTAATAAGCCGTGTCGCGCGAATAATTCTCCTCGCGACAACGTGCGGCGGATCGATGCCGCTGCGACTCGTTACCAACAAGCTGATTAGCCTTCGATATTAACGTAGAGATGAAATTATCCGATAAACAGTGTGAATCGACCGATCCGCGCTATCGTTACTCCCTTATGAAGCACCGTATCGAATGTGCGTTACCTTCGACGATTTTACGTCACTCTTTCCCGATAACCGTCCATCGATGACTTCGACTTTTTCCATATCCATGAAAATAATCGAATTTGCTCATATTCAATAAAATACGCTTTTAACGCTACAACGATGTTCCAGTCAAATCTTTCAATTTTTTACGATCTCGTTTTATTACAAAATTTCACCCGTCCAAGTCCCGTTGACGGTAAAACGATTTTAAATAGAGTTCTTTTTCGCGCCATCTCGTTTGATTTTAACAGCCTCCTTAATTTTGTCTCAACGATATTGCCATTATTCATCCTCGAAAGCAATCCATCGGAGAAGTGGCTCGATTTCGTAGCGGATCGATGGTAAGAATCAAGAAGGAACGCTAGCGTACTGTATCCTTGTTTCCTTAGCCTTGGGTGTTTCGGTGCCGGGACAGAAGCTGGTAAACGAGCGGAACTTCTCTATAATTTAACTCTATCGATTCTTAAAACTACTCGCAACTCGAATAAAACGCTTTGTTCGCCCTCTATCTGTATTTCACGTTGAAACTGACATATTGATACTCGCTCGGAGTTATCGCTTTGACAGGAATAACGTTGGAAGAACTTTCATTGGAAACGCTTAATCCTTCGGCTTTCCATATTTTTATTTTCTAGAGTTTCTATATCGGTATCAAATTGACGGGGAAATGCCTAAGTACTAAACGCCGATCTAGTATTTTTCTGAAATACCAGCGCCGATAAAAAGTCACAGCGATAAACCTTCGTTAAACGCCCGTTATCGATTTCACGAGGCCTGAAATCGCGGTTCGTCCTCCGTGTACGCAAGTATAAATGCGATCATAAATAGCGTCATATATCAAAGACATCGACGGTTCGTCGAGCGTGAATCGTTGTTGTGGACACCGATCGATCGATCGAACTACAATTTACTATTGTCGACGGTGATCTAACGTCTAATAGAATAATTGTGGTTAGCCTCTGGCCGAGGAGGACAGAGAGAAAAAGACGTCGGGAATGCAGCCACGGTTCAGCTGCCGTAATATGTCTTCATGTAAGAGCGGACTGACAGTTAACATCGTTGAGATCCAATCTGCATACCGAGATCGGATATCGTCTTCAATGAAACGGACGGGGCCGTTCCAGATTTTTCCTCCACCAATGCAATCGACCGGTTTAACAAAGACGCGCGTTTCGTCGTTATTTTCTTTGATATCTAGTTTCGAGCTGCCTCTCTCCAGGGTAATGGATAAAATTGATTTTTTTCTCTTCTTTCTTAGAAACAACGTTGCTTCGTATTTGCGCTTTTCGTTCGATCGAAGATTTTGGATCGTCCTTGGCGCGTCTAAACTAACCGATAGCTTTTACCTATCGCCTGAGTTACTCGATTCGCGTAAACGTTTGTAAGAGAATCTCTAAACGAGCTTCGAACACTCATCGAATGCGTTTATACGTAGTTGACGATACGACCACCTGTTTGCAAGAACAGAAAAAGAACAGAAAAGTAAGTTAGCATTAACCAACGCGTGCTCGAAACTAGTCGAGACAATAAAGAATACCCAACGATCCTTCTTCACGATAAAATAATACACTCCGGATAGTCGGATACGAATTAACGCGATCAATGCGCGAAGCTAGTTTGCGACACGAGGATCGACAAAGCACGATATACGTGCGTGATTCCCTTTACGAACCTTTATGGTCTTCGTGTTTGCGATCGAGACGTATCGGCAAGTGGGCGCCAAGATGACAAATTGCCGGTGACATTCTATCGTTGGTCGAGGGACGAAGAAAAATCAGAGGTGCTGGCGCGCAGACTTCAAGATCGATGAGCAGCGAATAATCGAATCCACAGCGGTTCTTTTCTAAGCGGTCGACGTTGTGCTTCGACCCATTGAATAAGTCGGAAATTATTACATCAATTTTACGATGCATAACTGTCGTTCATTCGGCTACGCCGCTGTCACCCGATCGGCCAACCGCTTATCATATTGCGGTCGCCGATGTTTGGCCGATCGTTGTGCCATTGTTCCGAATTATTTTTGCCAGCCGCGTACCGATATTGCGGATAATTGTTCGCTCGTGCTCGCGAGTTCTGCGGTTCGTTCCATCCTTTTCGCGCTTTTAAACGTATTTTGGTATTCGCGTTGCTTCGACGAAGCAAAAATCATGTCAAAATTTGTTGGCCAACCCGGAGTAAACGCGAAGGAAAGAAGATCGTCGCTTCGGATAATATCTCGCAACGATGATACCAAATTTGAGAGAAACTTCACGAACACGTAGCTTTGGAAAGGTAGAACAGCAAATATCGGAAAAATGAAACGATCGATACCGACTGCTTACTTCCTCGGTAGATCTGTGCTTAGAGGCGATTCTTTCATTGGATAATGCATCGGGCTCGCTTATAAAACTCACGTGACAAGCTCCGCGATTATGCGGTGTAACGAAGTACTGCGTGAATGAAAAATAGATAAAAATGCTAAGGTAAAAAATGGAGGAAGGAAAGAGAGCGAGGTGGAAATGAATGTAATGCAATTTTCAACGGTGGCAACGCTGTGCTAAGTGAATAAAAGTTGGAAAGGAAGGTTGAAAAGTATCCAATCCGCTACAAATACCGCTTCGCAGCCTCTATGCTCTATTCGCCGTTGACTTTACGGCATAATGAGTTCCATGAGCTGGTAAAAAAATTGGGATAAAAAACGAATTACACAGTGTCTCGCTTGTCTAACTAGAACATGAGAACTAACGAGATATCGTGATTACAGGTAACGGTAAGCATTATTCGATGTTTTTTTAAAAAAAAAGTTAACGCTATTAATGCGTCTATAGTGTTTCAACGACGGAGCATGCCGAGCGGTCGCTAGTTTGCAGTTTCAGCAACGTCGCAAAGGATGCGGATGTTTGTGAAATTTCAAGTTTCTTCGTTTCCGCTCGGCTCGCGTAAGATGGAAATCGGTAAAAATCGATAAAAATGTTCCACGATACTCGGAAGACGAATTTTGCTTCAACGTAATTTCTTTCGAATTTTCTCCTACCCGGTAGGGGCCAGTTATTTCCTTGGAAAAGCTTCGTTTACGAAGAAAAATGAAGTTTTATTATCGCGCCAAGCTCGAGGGCCACGGTAGGATTTAAGATGCCGGCGAGAACGTCAGAAAGCATTAAACGTTATCAACTAACGAACGAAATTCCCGTAAACCGCAAGTACGAGCGGCCAGGGTGCAAAATTCGAGCGTTACAGTACTCTGAGCAATTACTTAAGACGACGTTCGAGAATATGAATGATATCCGAGTATTATTCCGCCGGGCCGGTTTACAATCACGTCGCGATAGCTGTCTTAATGAAACACCGGGCAACGTTGATGCAATTATTTATTTGAAATATTGCTCGATGCAGAGCGCTGGGTGTCCGTAATCAATCACATCCTCCCTCGGGTTGAATTCTGCCGTCTCTGTCGGCGTTTACGAGTCTCTGCCCACTCGCTTCTACCACAGATCGCGTTATCTTGCATTACCCCGGTGAAACCGCCGCCGGTAAACACTCGATTAATATATAACGTTGTTTTACGCGATCGCTGCCTCTTCGCGGAATATTCGCGCAGAATATATCACGCGTTACGAATAAATTTTCTACGCCCAAGAAAACGTACGCCCATGCGTAAAACGGATTATACGCGAGACGAAATTTTAAAAGGAAGTTCCTGACGACCGATGCTATCGAAAAACGCGGAACGTTGCATGCAACCCTATTGGTCACGTATCAATCAGCGGTGCAACTTGATGCTTTGATCAAACACCATCTCGCTATATCGCGATAACGAGTAGCGTGCTCCTCTACCGTGCACAGGAGTACTTGCTGGTCTAGTGACACGAATTTATCAGAATCATTCCCATTGCAGGCATATATACCATGGAGAAGCACGTCCAGGAGCACGAGATAGTGATACCTCGAAAAGTGACCTACCGAGGGGAGCTTATCTCGCACAACGTGACCCACCACCATCACGAGGACGGGCCAGTGGTACACTATCGATTGTCCGTGGCCGGTAACGAGTACCACATCGAACTGACGGCCGTGGACAACTTCATCGGACCAGGGATGGTCGTTGAAAGACGGAAACGAGACGTACATGTGCGCAGCCGGTCAAAAAATCGCTCGAGCAAGTGCCATTATCGGGGTTTCATTCAGGGACATCCGAATTCCCAGGTTGCCTTATCCGCCTGTGACGGTCTGGTGAGTTTTACGCTTTTGTCCTACCGTCTTCGTTGATTCTTTCCATTTCTTTCTTTCTGCTCTTTCGTTATTCCGCGTTTCCAGAGCAGTGGAAATAGATTAAACGAGATTAGACGAAATGGATTCGTCGTAGAAATGAAAGAAAAACTGAAACTTGCGTAATTTCGAGTTTACGAATTATCGACGAATAAAGTAGAATTAAGTAGAATAGGAAAATACGCTCGCTGCGTCTGATATATCGTACGGGTGCTCTACTTGAATTTTCATATCGATTACGAGAGATACGGTACACAGCTTTACCTTTGATTCCTCGATATCGAAAGCAAACAGTCAAACTTACCTTACGACGATTGTGTTTCATCGTCTTTCGATATTTGATTATTACTATTTACCGTTACTATCTCTTTCGTGGAAATGCAAAATATTTGCACGATTTAAATCGTCGATATCGGAAATGTTCTCGATCCTCGTCCGTTATACGGAATTATAGAAATGAATACTGCGAATAATAATTATCGGATTATTAGCGAAAAATATTTAACACGTATGAATATTTGCGGATGAATGTTAAACAAGAGCGGAAAATTAATGAAGCATGTATATAGACGTCGCTGTACATTTTTTCATTAAGAAATAATATCTGTTCTTCCGCTGGATTCTCGTCCATGTGCTATCTCAGCTTACCTTTTGCAGCTTGCGTATACTTGATAACATAGTAGCGCTGGCAGTAAAGAAAATACACGCGAGCCGGTATATACGCGCACAGGATAACGCGGGTTACCGAGGTTTAGTTTTTCGCGGTCGTGAAACGAAACGATCCTCTATTATCTAGGGAAAATATAGATTAAACGTGAATTCAAATTCTTTTCCTTCTTGAACAACGTCTTTCAAAAAGACCGTATATTAAGTCGGAGTATCTTGCTTTTAAAGAATAAGTCGCGCTTATTTACGTCTACCGAGATATAGAAAGAGGATATATCGAGTCTGGTTGACAATATACGAGACCAAAGAAATTTGAATCGCCAATAAGAGAAACGATCTAGTTGTTCGACTTGCCATACGATGTACCCTCGTGTATAGTATTCGATGCAGCTCTTTCGAGTAGCACAGAGAATCGATAACGTTCCTCCGGAGTTTCTCTCCTACTCGTGCAAAATATTTGCTAAAATGGGAACTCTCGCAGCGATCTCCTACCAATTTCTCGACCACCGCACCCACCAGCGCGCTGTGCCGCGTCTGACGCTTATAAAACCGCCTCAATTGGTGGCAGTCGCATCCGCGTTTAAAGCGGCATCCGTATCCGGCGGATTCGGTTCGGCGAAATTACATTTCCAAGTTGGGCACGGCTCGCGGAGAACAGTCTCGCCTGCGCCGCAAAACCGAAAGGCGAAATTTACGAATATGAACGTATATCCTCGACATCCGACGGGTGTGGTATCGCGAGAGAAACTCGCACGGAAGTTCGCCGCAGGGAGGAAGGACGTAGAGCGTGGAGCGTAGAGCGTAAAAGGTAACGCGGTAACGGCGCGCAAGAGGGAAGAAAGAGAGAACGCGCGGAGGTGGCAACGAAGCGCACGATCTCGCGAAAAAGAGAAGCGCGAGAACAATGGAAGAAGCCGAAGGTCGTGCAAGTGGATAAGACGCGTGAAGAGGGGCAGAAGGGATAAAGGGGAGAGCGGATGCGAAAGAGGGAGGAGTCACGAAGCATGCATCGACGCAATTTGCTCTCAGCTTCCAGATAATGATTTAATTTGCCATGGCTTGGCAGATTTATGACGGCGCACCTCGCCGATGCGTCCACCTGTAAACGCGCACACCTCATTCTCTCGAGTGTCTGCAATCCACGCGAACGCAATCAGCTTCCAGGCGAATTCGAGTACGAGTAACCTTTTGCGTTCGTGGATTTATGCCGCCTACGAACCGTCGAGTTCGTTCGAGTATCTCGTTTCGCACCGCAGCGGACTCTTCAAATCCACGGAACAACTGAAAGAAGGCTATCAGCGCTGCTTATTAGCCGATTACCGCACCGTGCCGCATCAAGCCGCGCGATTGCGCGATCCTGCCTTGCGCGCTAACGCGTCGATGCAGACTACAGCTCCAGAATGTTAATTTTCTTCGATTGTACGAAGCGACGATTGAAAATCGGAGAATATCCTAATTTAGATAGATTTGCGATTTCATTTCAGCTAAGTACGTGGTAAGTACGCGTGTGTGCCGCTTTGTTTACCAGCGAATATTCTTGCAAAACAGCGTTTAATTCGTAGAATCGTATAAATCAGGTAATTCGGAGAAAGTACAGGCGTTTCGCTTGCATTGTATCTAACTTCGTTGCAAGTGCAATAACAACCTGCTATGATTTGGTCCGTGATGTCATCGAAGCAGAGTCGAACCTCGAGTAAGCGTGATTCCGAAAATCCGGACCGAACGATTTCTAAATTTCGCACCCGACAGAATTTCTTCAGACTTTTTCACTACTCGGCACTACGCAAAAAAAATGTGCAACTTTAATCTCTCGAATTTCTACGTCCGTGAAAGATACTTCTTCCGAGGATCGTGAATAAAATTGTAGCGTATAAATAAAAATAAAAGATGATACATAGATTAATAAATCAAGTCAGGACGAGGTTTCCATGGAGAAATAAATGCGTGTACGAATGAGAAGAGGTTGAATCGCGAGAGGCAAAATCAGATTAGATCGCATAGGTGGTCCGAGCGGAGGACGTTCGAACGTCCGTTCTGTTGAACGTGGAGGAGCGTAAACTTCCCTTTGTAAGGGGGCGGATTCTCACGCAACAGCAATTTTGTCTGCTCAATTTTCTAGAGGAAATCGGTTGTGACCGCTTACCGCTCGCGGCGATCGACCTTCCCGGTGTTATACAGAGACACGAAATTTTGCGAACTCGTCTCGCAAGTGCAGCTACGCGGAAACTGTAACGTGCCGTGACGTTCGTTTCTATCGCTCGATAAGGACAAACCCGCATCGCTATGGTTAATTAATCGGTACGATTCATTTCGATTCGACCGCATGCGCGCATCGATCGAATTGTGACTTGTCGAATTAAATCATCGGCGGAGTTTGATGAAATTACGCGCGTTCGTGCTACCACGAATTCATCGAATTTGACTTTGATACATTGGGACAGTCTGCCTCTGATTCGTCTGTGACCAGCGTAATTAGCCGAAGATTCCTCGATATGGTCTTTTAATCGGTGAATATGGAATCAGTGGCAAATATCAAAATCGCTCGCGTTGATCGCCCATCGAGAAAGAGGAAAGAGATCAAATTCGGTTAAGGTTCATCGAAGCAATTCGAATCGCAAGACGATTCTTCTTACACGTTCGACGACGCGTTTATCGGTGTACCGTGTAGGTATAATCACCGGAAATCAGATTCAGGATATGTCGTCAATTATAATCCGTCGAAGGCAGCAGGTGCGGGAGGCGAAAATTAGCATAGATCCTTGCAGTGCAGTAGCCGCATACTTTGTTGTTAATTTCTCCTTGAAACCGTATTTACGCACGTGTGAGCGTTTTAATGCGCCCAACTACGATCCTCTCGCTATTACGCATGCGATATCCCATTTTATCGCACTATAAAATTGATGGAACAGAATGGCGGAGTGCGCGCAAAGCTCTCGCAAGGAACCGTCGTAAAATTTCAAATCGCCAACCACTTGTACTCGCGGTTTACGATTCGATGAACCTTCGATTTCGACTTATGATCAGCGTTCCGTTATATGGTAACCTTTAATAGCGGTATTGTAGGATGCGTTGCCAACGTAAACGTTACGAACTCGCGAACTTTTAATTATTCGTCGCAAATAATAAGCGTGGTGCAACGAATAGGTAAAGTTGAAGTTACAACAAATCAATGTCCATGCAGCGAGTTCTCCGCGTTATAAATTCTCGGTTTAATAAAGTGTATAAAAGCTTATTGTGTTAGAAGGATTGATATCTCGCAGGTAAAGTATGGATATAAATTATTCCCGGTAGACGTTCAACCGTGCAAATAAACTGTTTCGCTATATCAGATATTTATTGCATCTTTAGAAACGGAAAAATTGTTCGCCTCTACGCAGTTTCTCCGGATGAATTCGCGTTGAAATATTAGGCTGTTGCAAGCGTTCTCTACGCCATTGAACATAAAGCACGAACTCAATTTTTAAAAGACTGCGCGTTCAAAATTAAGACGTACAAGTACAAATGTCGTTAATGGCGGTACTTCATCTTTCTCCGACTGTATCGCGACATTCTCTTCGTCGAAACTAATCGATTCAAAGTCTCGAGCGGACTACGGAGGCGCGTTAGCGTCTCGAGCGTCGTACATGTATAGCAACCTGTTAAAAAATATTATTTCGACGACGGTCGTTACAAGGATCGAAATAGAAAATATGGACGTTCCATTTGGCGAGTTCCGACAGAGATTGTAGAAACCAGCGCGGTCATAAAATTACGATAGCACGGCATAGCAGCGCATAGCGCGCGATATTAATTCGTTGTGGCATTTAACGGCCGATAACAAGCTTCGGGCCAACAAATCCGTTGGTCGATTCTCGCGTATGCCCTTCTGGGAAGTAATTTTCGGTGGAATCGGTGGTTCGTAATCGACGAGGACCCGATCTGACCACGTGGCAGAACCACGCGTATTTACGCGACATGTAAATGAAGTAATCGTTTCGAGTTGGCACGTCTGCAGTTACGCGCCCACAGTTACGCTCACACACCAACGGACCAAGTGTAATTGGCATCGATACGTAATGTTCAGTAATTTCAGGCTTCCACGATAATGGTATTATCTGGTGGGTTAATTCGCCGGTACGCCCTCGATAGCGACCGCTTAACGTGAGTTAGAATTGAATTTGACACGCCGATCCACCCTTTTGCTGCTGTCCCCGCAAGATGCTGTACCGTGATCCCTTTGTTATCTTGAGTGGCTTACGGGCACGGGACATTTCAAAGCCCGGCATTACGTTTATTGGATAGCTCGATGATATTAGGAT